GATTTGTGCCAGAGATTCGGTGTTAATTCTGGCAGTTGACGGAGATGGAGCATGGATCACAGGCACTAGGCTAGAGCCATGTGTAGTGGCTCCTTGACAACATACTATCCACCGAATTTAATCAAACCCTACACCCCCCGCCCCCCCGTTTGCCATACCTCGGCTTGCGAAAGCGCAGGTGCAGCGGCCGGCTCTGAAGAAGGGATACGAGGTCCTTCCGACTCATGGTCTCTTCCAAGGACTTCAGACTTCAGATTTACAGGGTGCTGCCGCCGTGCTGCCGGTGTTGCGAGCTTTCCTTGTCACCCCCTTTGGCACTGCATTGCACGATGGCCAAGCAAGCAAAACCAATGCTTCTGGTACGCTACCAAGCCTGGCGGGAGAGTGCATCAGCACTGACGCCGTTCACAGTGAGGAGGACGCTGCCAGTCTGCACCTGAGCCCACCAGGAACCCGGATCCCTCTACCACGAATCCAAAGTTTCATGCTTCATGCTTCAAGATGCTGAGCCTCCAATCCTCAGGGCCCAACGCTCTGAATCGTCAGGGGTGCATCGGGGTGCACTGCATCGACGCACATAGGCCTGCACAATCGGTTAGGAATGATGTCGAGCGTACAACAACCCAAGCGTACCACGAATCTTCTTCGTTCTTCTCCGGAAAATATGCGTTTCTTCTGTGCTTCCCGCGGCCTGCCAGGAGACAGGGCCAGACCCACAGGCCCCAGGGAAGTCACGAGGACCTGGTCAAAGCAAAACCCGAAAACACGACAAATAAAGCACAGGACCACGGCAGCCATGGGCAGAACGAAAAAACAAGCGGGGTCCTGCAGAACAAAATTGTGTGGACACATTTATGTTGCTATTCTCCTTGTCTCCAAGTCTTTCCTCTCCTTGCAGTACTCTAGATTTGTGCCTGCCTTGGTCTTAGCATAGCTGATGCCTCGAACTCCAGAGGATCCAATGTGCCATCCATTCGGTGTGGCAGGGAACATGGCAGAGGATCCCTCGGATCGTCCACGTTAGTGTACCCGTGGATGTATTGCAGCCTGCCGCTGCACACGCTGCAGTTCAGGAGGGATAGGATGCGACATCTTTGCTGACCGTGTTCCTGGAGGCGCTTGCCAGTACATCTGCTGTGAAGTAGACAAACTCTGCGACCTTGCGAGAGGGTAGCCTCATGCAGCCCTCTTCAAATTCCAACGGTCGAGCCAATCACGGTAGAGCCAAAGCACCAAGGGGACTGCAAGCAAGTGTCCCTCTGATCTCCAAGCGCTCTTGGAATCTGATCAACTTCAGCTCCCCGAAAACGAACCCATGAAAACCCCGACATGATCATGTGCCCACAAACTCCCCAAATCCCTATGTAGAACTGCGCTGGCGTCGTACTTGAGCATCGAAGACGCCATCTTTCCAGGTGCGGAGCGGAGGGAGCGCTTGGGTCTGTTGCGCCATCAGGTTGCGGATGGTTCCAGCGCCTCCCTCGAGAATCCTTCAAAAGTCTTTTGCAAGAGATGGCAACCTGCCTGCGATCTGGGACAGATTCTGAGCAAAGAACTCATGGCAGTTCTCTAGGTAAACAACTTAAGCGGGGGGGGGGGGGGGGGGGGGGGGGGGGGTGCTGCATAAAAGAACGAATCTTTCCCGTGGCAAGGCAATCCTTTCTCCTGCAGCCGGGATCCCAGCTGCTTCCGCGCATCGGGGTTTGGATCACTTCGCGCTTCTTGCGCTTCCGACCTCTACTGAAATCTACTGAAATCTACTGGAAGTATAAGCACCTTGATCCAAAACCCGCACAAGGATCTTCGGGCCGTGAGACAGCCGCCAGCCACCTGCCTTCACGGGTGCTCGCGTCAGAAGCAGCCGCTGTTAGCTGGAATGCCTCAGATGTTGCCAATGTAACGGGCAAACCTGGCTTGCCCGCCGAAGATCTTGCTGAAATCATCCTGCAGAGGCGAGTTCTGCCTTCGAGAAGCACAAGCAACACTGACAGGTGACAGGATAGCAGATGATCGCAGTGATGATAGCAGATGAGTGCGCAGTGTGCAGAGCTCACTCTCCCTGTGCCACTGCCTCTCCAGAAGGTGCTAGCGCTACGGTTCTGCGTCCGTGTCCTGGTGCAGTTCCTTGCGCAACTCCATGACGACCTGTGGGAGCTCAGCAACTCACACAGCTGCTCATCCACAACCAACTGCCTCAACCCAACACCTTCACCACTGTAATGCTTGCACCAGCGAGCCTCTGTCTCTGACTTTGATTGACCTTTCTTTTCACGCACGACTTGCAGCTCCTGCCGAATCTGCTTGCACTCTTGTGATTTGGCTGGCATCTCCCCCCGCATGAAGTTCGAGCTCATCCAATATCACATGTCTGCACACAACGATGGAACATCATAAATATGCTTCACTTCATGATGCTTGAGGAGTGCCAACGGAATGGGTAAAGGCAGCGATGCTTGCCCCGTGATGGTTGCGACTGCGAGCTGTGAGGGTTGCGACTGGTAGCTGAATGATTTCATGATCTCTTCAAAGGGGTTGAGTGTTCTCCAAACCCTCCACAAAAGACAGCAACAGCGTTTACAAAGAACGGTGCTGCACGATGGATACTGGAATACTTGGTCCTGGCTCAATTGCTCAAAAGCCTCGCCAATTCTTGTGGCACGTTGGAGGTGCTCCTGCCAACGACGAAAACTGCGCTGGGTGCAAGTCATCCATTCCTTTACAGGCGTACAGTAGCTCCAGTAGCTTACGAGCTCGAAATGCCAACAGATTCCTGGCAAAAAACCGCAGATCCGTCAGAACGGCAAAAAATCCCAAATCCCTCAGAATGCGTAGGGCATCCTATCCGTACCGAGCTCAAGGTGCCCTGCACTTCGTCCTTGGCTTCGCTGATCTCGCCAGCCTCTCCAGGCTTGGGGGTAGCGAACTGCTCAGGGGCTAAACCCTATAAACCCTGTCAACCCTAAACCCGAAGTACACCCTAAACCTACTGCAAGGGGCTCATGGCCTTGCAGGTAGCACCATTAAGCCCAGGAGTTGCAGAGAGCCCAACCTCCATGAGCACAAATGCTTTGCGGGTGAGCTCATCCTTGGGCTGCGCACCGGGAACTCGGGTTGAATTGGTTGGGGGTCTTCAGGGGGGAAGTCAGGGATACTCTAGGGCTAGTTAGGCTTCAGGCAAGCTTCTTTGGGTCTAAGGGGACTTGGCAGACTGGCAGTGTTACCGAGTTTGGCCAGGCGGCAATCATGTCAGCACGTTCGACCGACGTCATGTCGACCAGGTCTGTAAGGAAGGCCTTTGCCCAAGCTGGAACTGCACATTGCGCAGTGGCATCTGAGGCTGCTGCAGCGCACACAGCTGAGACCCAACTTTTCAACCCAGAAGCAGCCCAACACAACGCAGAGCCTCATCCATTCCCGTAACTGCAGCTGCCACCTGCTAGCGTGGATCTTGCTTCATGGACCAAGGCGAGTAACGTCAAAACCCTACAAGAAACGATGCTAGCACCCGGATGGTAAGTTCACTGATCATGGGCATTCTTTTGGGATCCCTTGTTGCAATACGGAGCCTTGGTAAGCTAGAAGGGACCAAAAACTCAGAGAAGTGCCCATATGCAGACTACAACCGGCCAATGAAAGTTCGATCTTAGGCAGTTCTTTGCACGCATTTGTTTTTTGCGGGGGGGTTAGGGTTTAGGGGTCAGAAACCGCTTCAACTTTATCCCAGCCTAAGAGGCCTTGAAGCCTCAAGAGCAGCCCCCTGCGGCTCCTTTCGGTTAAGCATGGTTAACCCTATGAAACCCTTTCAAAGCCCTCCGGGCTTTCCGCAGCCCAAAAACCCTCAACCCTTAACCAGATCCAAACCAGGTATCGCACATACATATATGTATGTATATATGCTACCCCCCCCCCACGTATCTACCCTTATTTTTAGTGTTTCAAGTACGATACAAGCCACCCTAAACCTCTCCAGGCCGAAAAACGCAAATATAACAGCAAAAGCATCTAACTACCGCATGTCAGAGGGGGGGTGGGGGGGAAATGCATGTTTGTCGGACCCTGCTTCTAAACCGTGTTTGTTTAAGGTTTCGGCCCAAGCCTTATACCTTGAAAATGTAGTGAACTCAATGAAGGCTTAGGGAAAACAATGAGCGAGCCTTTTCGTAAGCAATGCTTGCAAAGTGCAGGTGGACATGCAAAGAATATGAAGAACAACTACCCACGTCGCGTATGTTTTTGGGGCGTAGGAAGACGTATCAGCTCCCAGAAAGTGGATCAGGCACTTGTGGGAGTCAGGGCGGGGTAACTGGATCACAGAAACAACGAACTGGATCAGCACAGCACGAGTCGGATCAACTTCTCGGCACCCCAGCCGGAGACATGTGGATCACAGGACGACTGTATCGGATCATGTTGTTTTTTATGTCTGAGAACGTACGCCTAGATGATGGCTGCAGGCGCCGATCCGATCTCGCAGGGCCGGCTTCACTCTGTTTTCTTCCAGCACCGCCAGTGCGAGGGGATCGGGTTTGATGCGGCGTGCTTGTGTCATTTGCCAGGCTTTTCTTTCTTCGCCATTTCATGGACGTTGATAGACTGCGTCGCTTCGCATGCCTCCGAGCCTGTAGTATTTTGCCATGCAGTGTTGAAAGTCTGGATTGGTTTTTCCTCTTCAAGTTTGTCACCTCCTGCTGCTTGTTTTCGTTCACGACTACTGCCATCCGATTTGGCGTCGTACCTGAGGGCGGAGGGCATGCCAAGCCGATAGTTGCGCGTGCTGTGTATAGAAGGAGCTTGCCATCAGACGGCCTTCTGGCTGCGTCGTTTCTGCAAGGAGATTGCAGTTGGACAGAACTACTTTTGCAAGCTTCCTTAATTCGCATGCCTCAGAGCTTGGAATATGTTGTTATTGTTCGATGTTTTTGTTTCAAGACATTCTGGCCAATCTAAGAAGTGGTCACTTATGTTTTGACCACTTTTTTTTATCGTACGTGCTGGCATCTTTACGACAGGTATTCCAAGCCAACCAACCATGGCGTGGCTCGTGTATAGGAGGAGCTCGCCGTGGGACACCCCCAGATCGCTTGGAGGAGCTTCCTGGGACCCCCTTGGGACCCCCCCCCCCCATGTCTTGATTCTTGAGCCGATTGGGGCCCGAGGCGATCCGTTTCGTAGAAGGGGGTATCCGATCCGGGCCCGGCCAGGCGGATCTGATTCGTTCCTACGTCCGATGTGACTCGCGGAGCTGATTCTGTGGCCTGATTCGGCCCCCTGGGAACCTGATACCTGCAGCTTCCGTTTTTGGGGTGTATGTGTTGTACGAAAGGGTAGAAACTCTACCCACATCGTGTGGGTATATAGGGTATATGTATTGTACATTAAATAGAGAAGCTGGAGAAGAAAGGGCAGTAATCCCCAAACCTTAAGACTAGGAAGTATTTGAGGGCAGATGCAGTACATCTATTATGTGTAGGCCCCAAGGAAGCGAGAATACCGTGAGCATATGTCCTTTCACTCTCTATTCCCAAACCTCAGTTTCCCAAACCTTATTCGTCTAACATGTTGGGCCAAACCTTATTTGTTTCACATTTATCAATGAGGTTTCAATAAGTGGGAACCCAAGAACTAAGAATCAGTACCAGGAGTCCCTGACAATCTTAGTTCTTTGTTCTTAGTTCCACCCTTACTGAAATTCTATATTTCAATAAGGATTTCCAATAATGATTGTTGAAACCCACTCACTCACTCAATGTAAACATTCAATAAGGGTTTTCAATAATGATAACACTCAGATCCGAGATACAACACAAGAGGAAAACCAGAAGAACATGGTAGATCCAGGGGGGGTTACCATATACACACATATATATATATAGACATAGAAATGATGCAAGCTCAGCATGGAAAACAGAAAGCATAAGCTCTCAGAGCCTTAGCCGGAGCTGGGCGAGGCCTCGCTGATCAGCTCCTTGGGGTCCTTGGCCTCTTCCCCTTCCTCGTCGCGCACGACCCAGCGCTCCTGGCTACAGGGGGCGGTCTGAAGCTTGACTTGAGGGTTTAGGGTTTAGGGTTTAGGGTTTAGGGTTCAGGGTTTAGGGTTGTAGAACTCTTTAGTCGGTTTTATACACCTTCATGGGGTTCAGGGGGCTCAGAGGGCTTATATCGGGTTTGTGGGGTTCTTGGGGCGTTCAGGGTTTACAGGTCTCAGAGGTTTTGAGGGGCCAGGAATCAACTAGGTTTTAGTGACAGAAGCATGGAGACACCTCACGTGAATCCTACAATAGCTCCGGCCGCAGCTTGCATTTGGCATGAACGACTCGGGCTATCCTGGGTACGTTCACGGCCAGTCTTCACAGTGATCTTCGAAAGGCGGCTCAAATCTTCACCCACCTCGGAGAAATGGGACGAAGGGATTTTCGAAGCAACGTGTTGTCTCGAGGTGCACATGGTAACATCAACCGCCTAGGTGACAGAATATCAACATGCCCCTCAAGATGAACCAGAAGGGGGCCATAGCTGTGCAGTGGGGGTCTCCTACACAGGAGATGTAAGGCTGCCAACAAAAAGTTAAGTGCTAAGTCCCGGACACCCCCCCCCGTCACTGGCCCCCTCCTCCCAGAAAAACATCTGTGTCTTGGGAGGGTTTTAAGGTTAGCATGGAGGGGAAATCAACCTAAAAGCCTAAACCCAAATCCGAGCTCCGGGCCGTGAAGCCTGTCCCCATGTCCAGCAGCGTAATGTCCTGTTTGCTCGAAGGAGCAACCGCGAAAGGCAGCTACGCCATGCCCTGCTGATGGAAGCTAGCAGTTTTGCGTTTAGCATTTTAGGGCATTTTAGGGCATTTTGGGGCTTTGGGGTTCGGTTGACGCTGGCTTCTGAAGGCAAGGCAATTACTGCGGGCTCTGCAGACTCAAAGCAGGCCTGTGGGTCGTTGCGCTTGCGCTTCCTGAGTGCAACAAGCAAACTGCATGTTTCAGCTTGCACGCACATTTCGACCTGCCACATGACCTCTTGCGCCCAGCCTCTATCATTATCAGCCACGAAGCATACAGCCCCCTACAGCCCGCGCCTCCCCCCCGCCTGTAAACCTTTGGACGCCGTTAACAGATGCGAAACTGCCCATCCTGCGGTGGAACTCGCAGACACCCCGAGGCGCAGACGACAGGGCGGGTTCGGACCCTTCCTTCTTCGCGCGCGAGCGAAGGCGCGAAGCACGGGTCTGAGCAGAGGGGAGAAAGTGGGGGTCCTGAGTTGCATGGGGTTTCAATACTTATTGAAGGAGGATAGGTGATAGGGGTGGGGGGACCTTTTGAGTCTTGAAGTGTTGGGTTCCATGGCTTTGGAGCCAATGCTATAACAGACGTGGACTTCGATATTGATTGGGGCAGGGCCAGCGCCTGCTTGGCAAAGGCTGCCAGAACCGGAGTGGCAAAAGCCAAGCCGTAGGCAGCTCCAAACCTCGTACGGTGAGCTCGTGGGGAGCTGCATGTGGATTTTGTGGAGAAACCCCCACGTCCAGTGAAATTCTGGGCTTGCGACCGTTGGCGCGCAGGAGCTGGGTCGGAGGCGATCTGCAGGTTTGGAAGCCATGTCTGATCATGCGTTGAAAAGTAACGCGTCACCGTCTATGTGTGCTTCCCATGCAGGCTCGTCGTGGATAGATGCCTCCTTGATTCTTCGTCGATAGTTTCAGCATTCAAGGGACACACTGCCTGCGTCGGAGTCGCGCGCAGCTGCAAAACTTGCCTGTCGAAGCTCGGGGAATTGAAGGCTGCTGCTGGCCACTTGCGTGGTGCACAAAAATTCGCACGCCATATACTGCCCAGCTCTGTTGTGGCTAAGAATGCAAGAAGCTCGGCTCTGCCGTGAATACCACATTTGTCACAAAAACGAACTCAGGTGCCAACTTTTTAGTCATCTCTCCAAAATTTGTAGCCATGCTAAGTTTAGGGATTGCTCTGAACCCAGGGACTCCACGACCAAATCGACCCCTCACTTAGCACGGCAGCTGCTTAGTTAAGCCCAAAAGTTGCGGCCCCCCGGGGGCGCACCCGTGGGCTGCAGGAGAGGCAAAAGCGAGGGCCATCGCTTGAGGAGAAAGTCTTAGAAGGTTTTTGAATCGCAGAAAAGGCTCTTCGAACAACAACATCGTCAAGACATTGTGATTGGAGAGTGGTTGGTTCCTCCTCGGCAGTTTTGCTTATGTCTATAGAGTCTAACCTCGAGAACTATGCGGCAGCAGGCCTGCAAATGCCAGGTAAGGAAAGTCGGAACATGCACATGACGTATCTCGAGGATCTTACGTGGCCCAAGACGATCTTTTTCCGTGCGCAACTTGTCATTCGCAATTGAATCTCCTGAAGGCGTCCTCAGGACTTCAATGTTCCCGCCGCGGCAGTTCTACAGCCGTTGGGCTGCCGGTCAACAGAGAGCCTGGTGTCAGTCCCGCCAAAGCCCATTCCTTACATTACTACAGGTCCCCGAAACCACTCCTCACCTGGAAGTAAACCTGGGACAGGACTGAATCTTGCTCACAGCCGTGGCCTAAACCCTAAAGGCCCTAAACCCTACCATGACCACCCTGGGAGGTCAGGAGCGGAGTCGTGGCCGAGAGTGGCGGAGCCGGCGCCGGCCGAAAAGCCGGAGCTCCGGCCACGTCCAAGGCCTGCCCAGGAGAACAAAAACAACCATAAAGAGACTCTCTGCACCCTGCAGCCGCCAAACGGAAATCATTTTTGCCAGACCACCATTGAGGCTTGCTGATGCTAATCGGCATCAGGTTGGGGCGTATAACTCTTGCAAAAAGAGTCGCGGCCGGACCACCAGCTCGGGCCATCCCTTGAGGCTGTGCCCAGAACGGACTGGAACTCCCCAGGGCTAAGATTTCGGAAGCCAAAGTGCCCAAGCTGAACTTCTGCCCCCCAGAATCTCTTTTTGCTCTCCTGCGGGGATCCGAAGACGAAGAGCATGAAGCGAAGGCCGAGGCACTGGGGTGGCAAACTCAGGACCAGCGAGCCGAACCCCCTTGCAGTATGCCCCCCTTTCAGCAGAAACCCCACAACAAAGAGAGCAAAAAGCAAAGCCAACGACAAGCCCAAATGCGCTCAGAAGGCCAGGAGGTCGCACAGCGGCCCGAACTCGGGCCGGGGAGCTGCCTAGGCTTCTCAGGTTGAGGACTTCGGGGTCTTTGAGAAAAAAAGAAGGGCTCCACGCCTGTGGCCACTACTAAGTCGAGTCGTAGCTTTTGAGTGCTTGCGTGTCCCCCTTGTGTTGCGGCTTCTGGCTTCTGGGAGCAAGTGCCCTCAAGAAAAGCATTACCTGCATTTCTATCCGCAGACTGGGAGTCGAAAGACCTCTTGTCTGCTTGACTGAGATACGTGCTTGTTAAATCTGCCAAATTCGGGTCCCTCACACTGTCGTTTGATCAACGTCGCATACACCTTACCCCTTGCAGCTTCACGCGTGAAAAGTCGCGCCGCAAACTCCGGAAGTCCGAAAGGATGGGGCATAGGACTTGTTAATTAACAGTCGTGAGGTTTAGGGTTTTGTGGTGCATGGTTGCATTTTGTAGACAGCAGTCTTCTACTTCCCATTGAAGCTCCCTTCGCCACTCTTAGGGGGATGCTGCTCTTGAACCCCATGATGGCGACAGTCTAGAGTCTAAGCGTCTAAGTGACTCCAGTGAGCCTGCGGATGCACTTACATTCCTTGAAAGCGCCAGGACAATAGGCAAACCACACTCGAACTGTGAAGGCCCTCCTGAAAGCGTCTTCAGAGCTTTTTACCCTTCATCACGGCTTGTTGGGAAAGCATCGTTGGCCGACATGAGCAATCCTTATACGCTCAAGTTTTCACTCCCCAGAACATGTATACACAGAAACATATACACTGCATTACCTTTATTGATAGTTTTGTACTCGCATATTTATTCTCTTGTTGTACTATCATCTCAAGCGTACTGGGGCTGCTCCTCTGACACATGGTCGCGAAAGCTGCGTTCAGAATTCTCCGCTGGTCCGCATGAGCTCTCGTATCGCGAGATTCTCTTGGAGTCCATACCAGGTTGCGTCAACCTCACCTATGTCAGTGAGCAGGAAGGCAGTGCGGTGCTCGTTGAAAAGCAGCTCGATGGGTACTTTGGACATGCGAGGAAGACTTATCAGCAAGGTGTCACGAAGGGCAGGCTTTTGATGGATCCAGCTCCCAACTCCCCAGACATCTGTATTCACCGTCCCAGCGGGCAGAAAGCGCAGTACTCCCTCATGACGCATTTCACGTATCGGCTGCTTGTAGACATAGAAGCGGAGGTCCGTGAAAGGGGGATGCAGCTTCTGAGGCCTCACAATCCTGCAGGCGACTCCCTCGGTGTAGTTGGTCATCGTTGGAACCAAAGTGTCCATGGCTCTGTTCCACTCGTTGTACTCCCAGGGGGTTCCATCCCAGCCGACACCAAGCTTTTGACAGTCTCTGAGGATCCGCCTCCCGGTTAGCTCATTGACAGTCCGTCGAACTCCACGCTCTGCTCCATAGTCATGGAAAGCCATGTATTTCACGCTGGGAAGATGCCGCAGGGAGTTGTATGCATCTGCTCGCACGAAGTGAAAGTCATGATTCGCATCGACAATAACAACGTCCACCTGATTGCTTCGAAAGATGGTCCAGCTGTCTGCCATGAGGTTTGCAGACAAGAAGACCACGTTGGTCTTCTCCGCGGTCGTCTTTCCTGCAGTTCTAAGGAAAGACTCATTGATGTCGACTGCAATGACCTTCTGGAAGATGCTCGCCCAAACTAGTGTGGTGTACCCTTTGTGGACACCAAGCTCCAAAACAGTCATTTTGGGAGAGCCCAGCCGGCAGAAATACTCGGCCATGTGCAGCTTGAATGTCTTTGATGTTGTTACCTCATCTGTAAGCTTCTCTGGAGTCTTTGCGATGGCGAGCTTCGCATTCTCTATGCAGCTGTCTGCGGCTGAGACGGCGGCGCACGCCGACACCAGCAGCGCAGTTCGTAACAAAACCACAGGACGGCCATGGCAAAGCATCAAGTCTCTGTCAAATGCTCATGTGAATCCTGCGCTGGGTCCTGTTGCCGGACCCATACATGACCTGAATGGCACGCTGCAGTCTGTCTACCGATCGTAGCTCGTTGGCAGAGCCTTCGTCGCGAGTATATGGCTTCATGGTTGCATCGTGGACATGTGCACGCTTTGAGGCTTCTGGCCCAGATCCGGAGTGTGAGCATGGCCATGCCCCCTAACATTCCCCAACCTCACTGCTTTGTGCCAGCCCGCGGTAGCGTCACTGGCCGGCACTCTCTGGGCATGTCCACGTTGCTGCGGTTGTGATGTTGGATAGGCTAAATAGGGCTTCTTTTGCATTAGGATACCCTGTGGGTATCATTTCCATCAAGGAATGGAGTTGTAAACGCACAAGCCTGTAAGACCGGAAGGCTATACGAGTAGCACCATGTGGGCCCCCCCAATGTTAACTACCTCCCCCGCGCTTCAGTAGACAAGCTTTTCAAAGAGGCAACCTCGGCCCTCCCAAACAGGCGATACTTAAGGCTACTTAAGGCCAGAATGCTGATGTACCCTCAGAGGTGCTGCTATGTCTTGACCTCTGGTGCATGACGCAACACTTCGGGTATTGCAACAGATCTGTGCTTTAGTGCTCGCGGAGCTGCAAGCCCTGAAGAACAACACGCACAACCAGCCTGAACCTGAAGTATCCGAAGGGCCAAGGCAAAGTACTTGCTTTGCATTTGCTTCATATTTCTTGAGCTACACATATCCAACTAGTTGTTCATACGCTGTTAACACAGCCATACAATGAGTATATCTTACCTGAGGAGCCCGCCCGGTCGTCCATCACGAACACACCGTTCAGGCCATGGAGGCCGGGGACCGTCACCAGGAGCTGCATCGGAAAGCGATGCCTCGAATTAGGGTTTAGGGTTTAGGGTTCAAGGTTTAGGAGTTGAGGGTTGCAAGGATCCAGTATGATGGGTAGATTTTCTGGTCGGCTTAGCATCTCATGATGGGCCCCCCTGTCTCGAGCTCTGTGTGTGATTTTGGCCTAACACCCTAAACCCTAAACCCTAAACCCTAAACCCTAAACCCTAAACCCTAAACCCTAAACCCTAAACCCCAGGCCAAGTTCAAGCTCCTGAGCCCCCCGACCGGGCGCCGGGGTCCAGCGCCGGCAGGCGGCGCTCGACGCTCAGCAGCTTTGCGGCACCCATGAGCCGGAGGTCGAAATGCATCTGCAGGGCAAGGGGTTGGGGTTTAGGGTGTAGGGTTTGGGGTTTAGGGTTAGGGTTTACGGTTTAGCGTTTGGGGTTAGGGTTTAGGGTTTGGGGTTTGGGGTTTGGGGTTTTGGGGTTTGGGGTTTGGGGTTTTGGGGTTTGGGGTTTGGGGTTTAGGGTTGTTCCTGTGAGTCGCAAGGGGCTTCATGAGGCTGAGACCACACATCCGCCCGTTCCTAAACTTGTGACGGGTGCGGGTCATGTACAGACTGGAATTCATAAAATAACAAAGAAGAGAAATCCTTGCGAGAAAACTGAGAGAACAATTGCGAGAAAATTGCAAGCACTTTCCGACCAGAAGATAGAACATTGTAAGAACTCTGCAGGAAATTAGCCGGAATTTTTGTGCTGAAATTGTGAGAAAATTGAGCGTTTCAGGCTCTTGTGCAATCGTTCTCTAAATTCTCGCTATTTTTTCTTTAATTTCTTGCTTATTTCTCGCTAAGTTCTTGCTAATTTCTTGCTATTTCCCTCTGAAAACCATCGAACCCGAGAAAACAAGAGATTTTGGGACTGGACGGATCTTAGTGAGAGATTTGCAAGAAAATAGTGAGAAATTAGCAAGAATGTAGAGAGAAAATTGCGAAATTAGAGGAGGCATCGTATAGATTTGAAGGGAAGCACGGGGTGGCCATAGCCGCTCACAAAAAAATCACTGACAAATCACTAGCCGAAAGGACAAGATCACAATTCTGCTTGCAAAAAAAGCACTAGCAACCTACTGATTAAGTCCTAGGATGCACCCCCAGTCTGTACATGGAATGAACGTCACAATCCTAAACAGGCGCAAAGGAATGGGCCACATGAGCACAGCGCGACATCACCATGCGCAGGTTCTCGGTAACGCAGAGTGATGTAGAGCGTATGAAGGCCGGTTATGGTAGTGTTCTCGGTAACGCAGAGTGATGTAGAGCCGGTTATGGTAGGTCACGGTATGCAACATCATATCTATTTCACGGATTGTTTCGCCGTTGGCCGACCCGACCTTTGGCTCCACCTTCTCGGCTGTTCGATTCGTGACCTGTCGAGATGACTGCAACTACTCCGAACCCAACCGACACCCGCCTGGAATCACGCACATCCACAAACATCCGCAGAGCAACCCCCTGCCAAGGAGGGCCCCCACCCTTGCCTCCAACTGCAGAGTGAAAGGCACCTCGACCTTGACTTGGCTGGGGCACTCGACCACCTCCAAAAAGGGAAGTGGTGGAGAAACGGCTTCGTTTCGGATCCCATCCTCGAGAGGTCTGATTGGAGGGGCGGAAGGCCTTGGTTCAAAGTTCAATCCACCCGAGCAGGACGCTACAGGCTACTTCTGTAGCCGAACCTACTAGCGGGCTCCACTCCCGATGAACCTTACA